GTTTTTAAGTGGACAGTTCAGTGGTGTTAAGTACATTCACACTGCTGTGCAACCATCGCCACCATCCGTCTCCAGAACTCTTTTCATCCTGAAAAACTGAAACTCTATCTCCATGAAACACTAACTCCTCATTCAACCTCCCCCCAGACTCTGGCAACCACCGTTCTACTTTCTGTCTCTATGAATTTGACTACTCTAGGTACTTCACATAAGTGGAATCACACAGTGTTTGTCTTTTTTGTGACTGGCTTATTCCACTTAGCATAATGTGCTCAAGATTCACCCATACGACAAAATGTATCAGAATTTCCTTCTTTTTAAAGGCTGAATAATACTCCACTGTATGTATACACCGCATCTTTTTTATCCACTCAATCATCGATGGATTTTTGGGTTGCTTCAACATTTTGGCTATTGTAAATAATGCTGCTATGAACATGGGTGTGCAAATATCTGAATCCTTGCTTTCAATTGTTTGGGATGTATACCCAGAAGTGGAATTGCTGGATTACATGGTAATTCAATTTTTAATTTTTTGAAGAACCACCATTGTAGAAAAGTTGGAATTCTAATATACTGCTATTGGAAATGTAAAATGGTGCAATCACTTTGGAAAACAGTTTGGAAGTTTCCTAAAAAGTTAATATATATATATATATATATATATATATATGCCAATTGATCCAGCCATTCTGCTCACCCAAGATATATGAAAACATATATCTCCCTATGAATATTCAGAGTAACTTTATTCATAAGAGTAAAAAACTGGAAGAAACCTCAAATATCTGTCAACATCTGGACATATAAACAAATAGATAAACTGGTATATTCACAGAATGGAATACTACCTAGCATTATAAGGAATAAAATATCAATACATGCTACAACATGGATAAATCACAAAGTAATTATGCTGTGTAAAGGAAACCAGGTTTAAAAAGAGTACATATGACTCTGTGTATATAAAAATCTAATAAATACAACCTAATATATAGTGATAGAAAGCTTATGGATGGATGGTGAAGGGTACATGGGGAATGGGGGAGGGAGGGATTATAATGATGCATGAGAAAATTTTAGGGATGATGGAACATGTTTATTATCTTGATGTGGTATCTACCTATGTCAAATCTTAACACATTGTGTACTTTAAGTATGCGTAGTTTATTACATGTCAATTGTATCTCAATAAAGCTGCTAAAAGTTTTGTAGTCACAGTAACAAATATAAAATAAGCATTAAAATGTAATATAGGTGTACATTATTGACTTAAAACATTTTGGTAAATAGTATAAATGTGAATGCCATTTAAAGTCTTGTTTATGAAAAATCACAACACTAGCAATCTCCTTTTCTTAGAGCTGGAATGGATATTGGGGCTGTGGAGCAGAAATGATACGTAAGTGACTGTCTCCTCAGAGGCAGGGCTAAGAGAATTAAGTAACCCGCCTAAGGTCAACAGTCAATCGATAGACATGTACTTCAATTCAGGCCTACCCATGCTGGATAGCTCTCATTTGCCCCTCTAGATTTACTTCCCATCCTCTCCACCCCGCCCTAAGCCTTAGGAGGCTAACCTATAAGGACTACATCATTGGTCTAGGTTTACCGCTGGCTTCCCATTGGGTTGGGCCAATGAGGAGCACCAACAGGAGATGAGGAAAAAGGAGGAGAGTGAGGTCAGCGTATTCATTCTCACACTTCATTCCTTGGTGACCCCAGTGGAGTCACCCTCGGGCTCACTGTGCCCATCCACTGAAGCTTTGCATCTCCTGTCAAGTGGTCCTCTTCACATAGTCATCTCCCTTCAGACTCCAGTAGCTGCTTCTTCCCCTCGCGTGTTCAGACTGGAGATGCTCACCCAGGTGCTGACAGTTCTGAGATGTTGCGCTATCTCTTGTAGTTTCCTTACAACCTGTAAATGCCTTTGAAAACAGTCCCTGTATTAAACTTCCCTCAAATTACTCAAATTGAGTATGCCACCTGTTTCCTGTGAGGGCCGTGACCTGTACACTACTAACAAAAATTCATCTCTTTTCCACTGCAGTTTGATGACGGGGCATCATTTTTGCCCAACATGGGCATGATCAGTTTTGGCGCCAGAATGTCTATACAGAAAGTTGCAGAAAGCTGGTTGAAGAGAAAGTGTGTTAGGGGAGTTATTTTGAAGTTGCATTTGCAAAGGAAGCCCAGTGTTCTTCCTTGGATTGAATGCTGATTTGATGGATGCTCTTGGGGGTTTAGTGTCATTTCTGGCTAAGGTTCTCTAACAGCAAAATGGCCCACCAATTTACTCTACTTGGTACCATATCTTATTCTCGATAGTTACAGGCAAGACCTTAACGTTTAAGGTCAGCATTATAGCCCTATTAGACCATTTACAAAGGAAATGTACACTTATTTCCGTGACCAGTTTGCCATTGAACATAGGACAACTCACCTTTCCCTACTTATGTCACCTAAAGCCAAGGTACCTCAAGGAAACTATGATATATTGCAACGGTTGATGAATAGTGTATAAAGTCCCCTTGTTCTCTTGAGATCGGTGCTAGATTGATGAAACGTTTTATTCATGCACCATTCGTTTCTCCCAGAGGTCACCAATGAAGTAAATTTCCCCCTTTAATTCCACCTTCCTTCCTCTCATGGACTGCACCCCAAAGGCACAGGAAATTCTCGAGGGTTTTTTGGTACAATATAGTTTTCACCAGTTCATGTGAGAAAGGCCCTGACACAATTCAAAAAAAACCCAGGGATTTCCACCCCAGTGCTTAGAACTTTGTCAAAAAGTATACATTGGCAATGTGCTTTCCTCCTCCCTCTGACCGCTCACAGGATTCCGGGAGCAGAAATGTTTCATTCCTCTTCCCACTACTCACGGGTTCACACCCTCAGCAGAGGAAATGCAAAAAAAGAGCAGGCCATGAGTTTTTATAACACAGTTCCCCTTCGTATTCTTTCTCCCACCTTCCACCCTCAGGGAACTCATTCAAAGGGAACAGGCAACTGGAAATGTAGGCTCATTCTTGTCTGTAAGATTTGCACCCCCAGGGAACGTGTGGCCGCCAACAATGAACTGGCACCCATATATCTTAAGCTCTGCCGACGTTTTCCAACTCTTCATCCAGTTTCTCACCACAAAGCCAAGCCGAAGTTACATTTTGGTAGCTTGAGCTTCAGGAGAGGAGAGAAGATCAAATACCTTTTGTTCCCAATCGGCTAACTACTCTAAACAGCAACACCCTAGATTGGCATGCCGAGGCACAGTCACAAGCCACAACTGTGGTTCTTAAACTGATGCCAGAAATGGAAAGGAAACACACACACACTCACACATACAAAGCTCTCCCATGTAGAAGCAGCAGCAGCAGTGGTTGGCTCTAGAGAAGATATTTGATTTGTGTTGTCGTTCATTCATAAGCTAGTATATCACTTTTGCTTCTAATATTTTCCTTGTAGAGAGTGCATTCTATATGGCTCCGTGTGTGTGTGTGTGTGTGTGTGTGTGTGTCCCACCCAAATCTATTGGTCTCTGCGTCTATAATGACCCAGTCTGCAATATTTGTCTAGTGTCTCTCTCCTGGTTTTTGTAGAAATGACTCCATTGTTTCATTAGCCAGAAAATCTGGATCTGATCTTTGGAAGAAGGATTTGGAACATAACGACTGTGCCTTTTAATGAAAAGATTAACAATGCTTCGGAGCGGAAGAGCCCCGCATTTGTTTAGAACGGGCCTTGCGTTTTGCTCTTTTGAGGAGTAACATACAATATCGAGTCTTGTCTCAGATTTATATACCATTCCAATCCCCTCGCCCATGTTCTAAATAAAGGTGGAATGACTATATGTTTGAAACAGAAATAACTCCAGTGTGCTATGGCTTTGTTTATAAAAATGAATGCTAGACATTTTCTTGGATCTTTGCGAGAAATGACATCCTACACTGATGCCCTTTCTGTAATCACAACACTAACTGCTTCCAGCCCCCGGTATTGTGTTGCAGCATTTTGATGATGTTTAGTTTTGCACTTATTAAGAACCGTGTCCCACTTGATTACCCTTTTTCCTGCCTTGCTGGCGGAGCACATACCATCCCGTCTATACAGGATTACACACACTTCCACTGATCTTGCTGGCTGAGCGCTGGTGATGCAGTTTGGCCAGGAACCCTCAGTCGGTCCTTTTCCTAATTTGGTACTACTGTCAGCCTGTCCCTGGCAACTCCGTGACACCCTCCTCGCTCCTCGGGCTGCTCACTGGGGGAGGGGACATAGGGGACTCAGTCTTGTTGCCGAGGAAATGAAGCACATTCATTTACCCTGCTGCTCACACTGATGAAAAAGGCCAAAACAAACAGTGCCACCGCACGCTGAGCACTGCTGAAACATCTGACACATTTTTCCAGTCTGGGACTCCTGCCCTGTGAGACCCAAATTTACAAGGGTGTCTTTCTCCCTCCCTTTCTCCTCCCTCCCTTTCTCCCCTCAAATAGGCCAGTTATCAATACAAGCACTTCAAAAGACATTCTAAATCACGAGATTTGAAAGATTGAAAGTTACCTCAGAGATCATCTAGGCCATTGGTTTTCAAATTGTTCTGAAGAGTCCCGGCATCTCCCAAATGCCCCTCAGGACTACTGTCCCCCCTCAGACAGAGGAGAGACAGGTGGTGCTGCAGGGCTCTACGTCCCCCAACTGCTTCAAGCGGGCAGCTCTGCTTTGATCTATTTTATATATTAAGTTCCTTATAAGATTTCCTCTGCTAAAAGGATTCCATACTTCAAAAAAGGTTTAGCAGCCACTGGGGCTGGAGAAGGGAGTGACCTCAATTGAGACCCCAGTCAGTCGGATTAGGACCCAGGAGTTCTAGCTGCTCAGCCCCACAGTTTTCCCACCACACCTCTCCCTCCCCTAGAGAAACTGGATTCATCACTTACCAGGTTGACCCGCGGCTATAGTACAAAAAGCCAGTTCTCCTCCTGTTTTATAACAACTCTTACCTTGCCAAGTAAAGGGGCCCGGTGGAGGGGTTGTCCTCACCACAGTGGGGAGTGCAGGTTATGGCGGCCAGTTTCCCACCTCTAGATATTGGCCCTGGATTACAAGAGAGGACATATTTAAAGCTAAGCAAATTCCAAGTTGGGCAGTACTAACAGCCAAGGGTGGGTGAGTGTGCTCTTAGATCCCCTGATCGAACTTCCCCCCAACACCAACCCTTGGGGCCAGAGGAGCCCCTCTGGCTCTCCCTGTACGGCAGAGTCTTCGGCAGAAGGTTTCACTGCCACTCCTTAGGGGAGAGTCAGACTGGCTGGCACGAGCTGCCTCTGCTCTCTGCCCCTCCCTTCACGCCACTGCCCTTCCTTCCTCCCAGGCTGGGGTTGCCTGGCTGTCTACAGTGGTGCAGCCTTCAGCTCCCCTTTCCTCCGCACACAGGAAAGAGCGAGCTTTCGCAGCTCCCTCATAATTATTCATGAAGTGCTGTGTTGCCCGTTCAAGTCCCTTCCCAGGTGGAAACGATACCTTTGAAAATGATTACGGCCATCATTGGCCTCTCAAGCCGCCCAGATTCCCCCCACTTGGGGTCTAGTAGATCTCTGTGCAGCAGAAAGGGCTGGCCTGGCTGCGAATTGGAAAGATAGGGCTGCCCGACTGGGGCGCAGGCAAGCGGAGTCCACCAGGCTGCCTTCCGTGCCTGTGAGGGGATTAATCCGGAGGGAAGCCCTGGAAATTCAAAATGATCCCAGCAAGATTCACCTGTTACTCCCCTCCTGGGGGACAGGAAAGAATAGTGCCCTAAAAGAGAACACAGAAATTTTTTTCCTTCCTCAGTACTCTCTGCTTCAAATCTGAGGGAAGGAAAATTAAGCGGAGTGAGGGTGAGTCTGCAAAGCGAATCCTAAATTCCAGGCAGGCAAGCAGAAACCCAAATCCTCACCATCTGAAGCCTCAGGGGGCACATCATTGCAGAGAAAGGCTGAACAGGGATGAAGGGGCACAGGGCAGGGTGCGCAGAAGGATGCAGCCTGCAGGGATCCCCAGAGCAAACGGCCGCTGCCATCTTCTTGCGGGCAACGTTGAGGGGCATCCTGGGGTAATCATCTTTTGTTTGCGGGGAAAGATACACTCTGCCTGACTTATCTGAGTGCCTGAGTTACAAGTGAAGCTTTTGCCTTTGACTATTTGTGGCACCTGGTTCCTGATTAAAATTGTTTCCCTTCCCGTTTGAATGGCAAAGGGGATGATGCAAGCTGGGCTCCATCCTCTCTTTGTCCTTCCCCTGTTCACTTTGGAATTCTCTCTCCCTTCTTCTTCTGCCATAAATAACCTTCTTACCTTAATGCCCTGTGTTAGAGCCGCCAAACTGGAGTTTAAGAGGTTTACTGCTCCTCTTACTTTCCATTTGGGGATTTTAAGGTGATTCTTCAGATGAAAAATTATTTTCTTTGTGCTTTCATTTGGACAAAGATAGAGTTCGAGGCTCTGTTAATGGCCCAACAAAGTGGTTGAACGATGATTGGTTTCCTGGCATCCAGGTGCGGGGAGATTCTGAAACTTGCCCTTAATTCTTCCACAGTCAAGTGGCGGGATCAGGCAATGGGGCTGAAGGGCAGCTGTTTTCAGTTGCTCTCCTGCCATTCATGGCTTCCAGGCATCCATTCTCTTGTTACCTGTCCTGCCACTATGAGTCATCAAAGAAACACACTTTTAGAGAAAAGCATATTTCCTAAAGACATTAAATTGATTACAGTGCTTTTGGCTGGTCATTCCTTTTAGAACTTCACGCGTAGGTTCCATTCAAAACGCTCTTTCGCCTGTCATGCTGTCAGATGCCGGCTACGGGTAAAGACGTGTGTTTGCATTTGTGTGTCAGCTCCTGACATTTGTATTTATTTGTACATATGTATTTTGTTTGTTCAAATAAATGTTTCATCAGATGTAGAGTACAGTAGGGAGACAGAGAAGGAGCTGGCACAATTCAAGAGCAAGTGAAATATTTCTCAATAAGACTCGGAATTCCTACTTCTGGTTAATTGTAAATATGATCTGGAGGAAGAAGTAGCACATCGGGGAGCCAAGGTTTGTATTTATCTTTTAATGTTATTGTTATATTATACAGTTTACTGCATAAATAATTGAAATGATAGTAATAACAATTTAGGGACCGTTCAACTGTTGTGCACACTATATTTCATTGATATTCACTTTTCTGAACTGTGCAGATCCGTAATGATTCCCAATTTAATGAACACACAGTGGTAAATTAAAAATGAAAGTTTTTTTCAAATGGAAAAAAATTTGTTTTTACTCCATCCCACTTAAAAACACCCTTTATCATTTGTTCATTGAAAATCATTCAACGGTAGTAAAAATAAACTTTTTTCATATGGTCTTTATGGTATTTGTTTTAAAATTGCAAATTTAATATGGTATTACTAGGAAGAAACAAGAAACCTTGGGAATTTAATGATGCTAATTGAACCTGAATGGATATAAATAGTTGCGTTTATCTGAATTTTTGGCTATATGTTTAAGGTATAATTGAAAAATATAAAAGCTAAGAATATTAAGATAATTTTCACAGGTACAAGGGAGAATTGTGGTCAATGCAGGATTAATATTTTCATACTCTATGAGGAGAATTTTTCATTTCTGCAGGTCTTATTATCTTAGTTTAATAAATGGATTGTTACACTGAAATGATTTCTTTGAGGGTAGGCATAATAACTCGTTCTTCTTTGTGTCTCCAGTGTCTACAACATAGTAGATGCTCAAGAAATATTTATTGCATAATTTCAGTGAATGTTACTTTGCCCTTAAATATTCCTTTCCCTCCGTCTCCTCCTTTGAGGGGAAATTAGAAGAGGAGAGAAGAGACTAGAAATAGATAAAATGTATCACACCCTTACTTTCTACCAGGCACTTGACATGTGTGATACCACTAAACATTCCCCAAAACCTATGAGATTGCTATCTCCATTCCAGTTTTGCAAAATGTGAAACTATTGTTCAGCAAAGGGAAAACATTATACAAGGACACACACATATCATAATTGATAATGCTGGAATTTGAAGCCAGTTCTATCTGATTCCAAAGCATGTGTTTTTTTCCCCACTTATTCACTCACAAATCCAACACATATTTTTGAACACATACTTGTGCCAGGCACTGTTCTAGACCCCAGAGACAATAGTGAAGAAAACAGATAGTTTCTGACCTTATAGAGCTTACATTCTAGTAGGGGTGGAGAGACAATAAACAGAGTCACAGTGCAGCATTGGTCCCTATCTATTTGAAAACTTGTTATTTGCCTACATCACAGAAATGGATTTAGTCTGTTTTTCTAAAATTCAGAAAACAGGAGTTGTAAGAGTAGTGTGGGTAGCGCAGAGAGAACAAAGGGTCACTTCATAGTAGATTGTTTCAGAAAGGTCGAGAGAGGCCGAGAAGGCAGGGCCCTACAGGCCGTTTGAAGCACTTTGCTTCTCCTTGGGGTAAGATGGGAAGCAGCGGAGTGATGAGCCCTGGCTCACACTTAAAGATTTTTAAGAAGGGGGCAAGGGAACAAGAAAGAAGACCAGGTGGAGAACCTTCCCTTGTAGTGATCCTAGTGGGAGATGGTGGTGGCAGAGACCGGGGCAGTAGCAGGGGAGGTAGGCAGAAATGGTAGGGATCTAGACAAAATTTAAGGATGGGTTGATTAGATGAGGAGTCCTTTCAGAGTTGCTGCAGTTATTCCCTATCCTCCTGGGTCAGAACCATGTTATTTTTGTAGTCTCCTCATCTGTAAAATGGGAACGATGTTTAAGAACCCATCTTGACAAATGTCCTCGACATCATGCCTACGACGTAGCAAGCATTCAATAAATAGAATGTTACTAGCAATTAGCAAAGCTAACTGGATAGGGAACCACCGCAGCTCTCTAAGTACACAACCTGGAGCAGGTCACAAAGGCAGCCCAGGTTCAAGACTGACCCAGGAACCCGAGGGCTAGGAGGACCAGCAAGGCCAATGACGACACACTGTGCACCTGCTGTGGGGGTAACAGGAGTGAGGGGAGAAGTGGAAAGAGAGAGAAAAGAGAAAGTGCAGGAAAGACTTGATTTCTAAGAAAGGCAAAGGGTCATCCAAAGAGCAAGGGGAGTTTCTATTCTTGACCTGGAGCGCAGTGTAGACACAGCTTCCTATCCAGAAAGAGCTGGGGAAACATACCTAATTGACTCTGGGAGGGAGACATTGTCAAACTGGGAAGTTTTAGATGACAGATTTATGAGATGCAGGAAATGAAAGACTATGGAAAAAATTATAAGCATATAAATTTTAATTTATATATTGATATAAATTTATATTTATATTTATTATAAATTATAAATTTAACTGCGGTTATGGGACACTTTTGGGTGAATGAATGGCCCCATCCTCACAAGCAGGAGAGTTTCTATTAAAGCCACGGGACTGTTTTGGTGAAATATTTTTTTTCTTATTCAGCCTGTGTGAATTCTTATTCAATAATAAGATAATCTTCAAGAAGGATCGAAAACTCCTGTTGACAGAGTTAGTTCAGATTTCCAATAGATTCTGTGTTTTTAATTAATTCTTGTTAGCTAGATTTCTAAAATTACAAAATTAATAGACACTCACTAAAAGATTCAAAAATTATACAAAGAAATAAGAGTAACATGTAAATGTCTCCTCTATCCTGGAATTCCCCACGTGTCTTGTTCCAGAGGTACTATCACTAGTTTCTCGTGTATCATACTAGGAATGTTCTGTGCGTGTACAAATATACATATACTCATATATGTACATAATTTAAAATTTTTTACCCAAGCAAGAAGTAACAATTTGGCAATCTACTCTATTCACTTAACAATATACAGGAGGTCGTATCAGCATAACTGGAGTTGAAAAAAAGGCCTCCTAAAACTGAGGCCAGGGGCGGGCCCCATGGCTGAGTGGTTAAGTTTGCACTCTCCGTTTGGGTGGCCCAGAGTTTCACCAGTTTGGATGCTGGGCGGGGTCATAGCACCACTCATCAGGCCATGCTGAGGCAGCATCCCACATAGCACGACCAGAAGGACCCACAGCTAGAATATATAACTATGTACTGGGGGGCTTTGGGAGAAGAAGAAGAAAAAAAAAAACCGAGGCCAAAATATAATAGTTAATAGTGAGAAAATTATTTTCTTGGGATTTAATCTTAAAAAATCCTAAAAATCATGAAAATATACTTCTCATTTTTAATAAAATTTAGATTATAATTGCAACCTTGTGGTATTTCTTAGAAGGAGAAAAGAAATCAAGTGTCACTAGGAATGAGGGGCTGGGCCCTAAGCCCTCA